ATGTTTACTGTCGTTTCATAGATTAATTGTTTTACTGTTAATGCTTCCCCTTACAGTCCCAAAATGAAGTGTGATTTGCATATAGTCCTTTTTACAAAATGTCTAAGCATGCCCTAGTAAATTAGATAAGCGTACATAAACCTACTCTTTAATAAATAGAACTTAACTCATTTCAGATTTTTGAATAGGCTGAAGTTAACTTCACTTTGCTATTAAGGAAAACTCGTGTTCATTTCAAGATCTAGGCTACTGTGTGAACAGGGAAGAAAAAAAAGCAATGGGCAAATCGTGTCCAGAACAAACTCAGGTTACATTCAGGAACTTAATGCCACTTTAAATCAGCAGAGAAAAGGCAAAATATTCCATTAACTAGTTTAAGGACAATTGGCTGTATACTTGAAAAAAAAATGTGTATATCCTTACCTCATACCATTGACAAAAATAAATTTCAGGTAAATAAATATTTAAATGTACATTTTAACTGTAAATGTTACAGAAGATAATAAGGTAAATATTTTTATAATCTTACTAGGGGGAAGACCATTATAAGATTTGCCAAGAAATGCAAAAACCATGAAAGGAAATTTGTAAGACCTGGCTACATACAATTGCATTACTTTGTGAATTAAAAGATACTATAAACAAAGTTATGTCGTTTGAATCAGTAGTTTGGAAAAAAAATGCTTTGAACACATTTGAACACATGTAGCCCAGGCAAAGGGCTTATATCCTTCATACATAAATAGTTCTTGCAAATCAATAATGAGAAAAACAAACAATCCAATTAAACATGGCCCCCAAAGAGAAAAAGTAGGTGTTAAACTCAAATCAAGATGTTTAATCACACTAATAAAGAAATGCTCAGTAAAATAACAATGAAGTATAGTGCCAAACATTTAGAAGATTAAAATTAAATAACAGAGTAGCACTAAAGATGTAGAGAAACAGGCAATGTAATTCACTGTTGGGCAAAGTGTAAATGATACAGTCTTTATAGGACAGTATCAACATGTTAAGTCCATACACTTTATGACCCAACAGTTTCACCAGGAGGAATCTGTCTTATAGAAATAGTGGCATGGGTGTGCAAACACATCTACAAAAGAATGATTGTTAAACTTTAAAATGGCATTAAAATCAACAGTAATCTATATAGTTATTAATAAGGACACTAGAAAAATAAGTTACAGTGTGTCTATGTGTTTCAGGCATGTATTACTGTATAACAGACCACTTCAAAACCTCTGGTTTAACACAAGTTACTGCTTCTCACAATTCTCAGGGATGGGAATACGGGCAGTTCTTCTGATCTGTGTGGTAATGACCGTGGCCAATCACATGCTGCAACAGCTGGTGGCCCGTTTCTTGCTGGAAGCTTCAGAAGGCTTCACTCATGTCTGGTCCTCAGTGCTCCGCACGTGACTGGCTCAGGCCTCCATACAGCATGGTGGTCTCACAGCAGCCAGACTCCTCACAGACGCAGGACTTGCACAAGATGGCATTCCAAGGGGTCAAGCCCCTGTGGCCTGTCAAGCTTCTGCTGTCCCGATGGTCAAAGCAAGTCACATGGCCAAGCTCAGTATCAGCGTGGACGGGAGCTACAGAAAGGCATGGATGCCTGAAGGTATGGTCCTCTTGAACATGCACAGAAAATGATGTAGCCATTAAAAAAAAAAAAGGAATGGGCCGCTTTTATATTTCTTGGTAGACAGAGAACTGTCCAGGATGTATCTGTGTGTGTGTGTGTTTTGGTGCTTCATTGTGGGCTTTTTTTTAATAAATGAAGTGTAGTCAGTTTACAGTGTGTCAATTTCCGGTGTACAGCACAATAGTTCAGTCATACATATACATACATATGTCCATTTTCATACTCTTTTTTGTGATAGGTTACTACAAGATACTGAATATAGTTCCCTGTGCTGTACAGTATAAACTTGCTGTTTGTTTATTTTATATTTGGTAGCTCTTACCTGCAAATCTCAAACTCCCAATTTATCTCCTCCCAACCCCGTACCCCCTTGTAACCGTAAGTTTGTTTTCTACGTCTGTGAGTCCATTTCTGTGTTGTAAACAAGTTCGTTTGTCTTTTTTTTAGATTCCACAGATAAGTGATATCATATGGTATTTTTTGTTCTTTCTCTGACTTGCTTCACTTAGAATGACATTCTCCAGGTCCATCCATGTTGCTGTAAATGGCGTTATTTTATTCTTTTTATGGCTGAGTAGTATTCCATTGTGTAGATATACCACATCTTCTTTATCCAGTCAACCGTTGATGGACATTTAGGTTGTTTCCATGTCTTGGCTATTGTAAATAGTGCTGCTATGAACATTGGGGTGCATGTATCCTTTTGAGTTAAGATTCCCTCTTGTTATAATATGTCCCGGAGTGAAATTGCCGTATGATAAGGTAAGTCTGTTTTTAGTCTTTTGAGGAATCTCCATAATGTTTTCCATAACGGCTGCGCCAAACTACATTCCCACCAGCAGTGTAGGAGGGTTCCCTTTTCTCCACACCCTCTCTAGCATTTATCGTTCTTGGACTTTTGAATGATGGCCATTCTGACTGGTGTGAGGTGATACCTCATTGTAGTTTTGATCTACATTTCTCTGATAATTAGCAATATTGAGCATTTTTTCATGTGCCTATTGGCCCAGGATGTATTTTTAAGAGGCAAGTTGTAGAGCAGTATTACTAACCCAATCACATTTGTTATTAGAAAAAAGTTTTAAACTACATATATATATTATACATATATGTGCTTATGTATGTATGTGTGTGAATATACACACCACACACACAAAAGAGGAAAGAGACAGAGACAGAAAGATCTGAAAGGATATACTCCAGTGCACTTCAAACTGCTATCAGTGCTAATTATTAGGAATTAAGGTATTAGATTGGGAATGGAAAGGTTTTTTTTAAAATTATTGTTGGTTGGTTTGGGCTATAATCTTTATTTTCTCTTTTGTATTCTTTAAATTTGTTCCAACTATCATGCATCACTTCTGTAGTTTTTTAAAAAGAAAAAAATATTCCAATATCTCCTTTGGTTCACACTGCAGACCTACAAGCGGTTTTGATAAACCACGTGTTGATTGTGATCTTCCAGAACAGTGTGCTGAGAAAGGGGGACAGGTAAGTAGACACAGAACAGGGACATGAATCGTGGCAGGACAGTGTATTGGAATGACTTTATAAACAGCTTTCAAACGTGAAGAGATCCTTCCTTAATTTCTTCCTCCACTGGATGTGATTTGTCCTAGACCAAACACAAGTTGTGATGTTCATAGTAATTAAAATCTGATTTGGTTTGCCACACACAGAAGGATCTACCAGATGGATGTTGCTCCGCTTTGGTTTGAAAACTAAGCAACCAGGACGTAAGAATGATGAGAAAGATGATATAGTGCATAGTCCATGCCAGGCACATCACATACACGGCAACCCTGTACATGGTCCGCTCCTGTAATCTGCACTTGGCCGTGGAGGAAAATGACTCTTTTCCTGGGCCCCATACCAAGCACCTGGGAGCCGACATCTGACCTCACGCAGTCCTGACGCAGGGCTCCTGTTCCACAGCTTCTCCGTGGGGACAGTGGTGGATGATCTCTGCATATACACAAACATTCTCAAAGAATTAGAAGCCGTATCCTGAGTACAAATAAGAAAGAGTGATAACCAAAAGTTTCCGCTGTTTCACTGCCCTGTTCCATTATCCTTTGGTGCACGGCTAGCTGACGTTAAGGGTACTCTGATGCCCATAATCTTGATTTCAGCATCATACTAATTCAGAGGTGTGACTACCCCATCCGTATCTGTCGCTCTGCGCCCTGAGGATCCTCTGTGCCTGTCAGAACGTGACCTACCAGTGCTGAAATGAGCACTCAGACAGCAGCTGATGGCACACCATGAGATCACTGCAGCCCGACAGCAGGCGTGTTCACCAGTTTTGACCATCATGACGGCAGTCAGAAGGCTTTGTGGTAAAGGGACAAGGGAGCAGAGATCTGGCACCAGGCACCGGGAGAGAAGAAAGCAAGACAGTTTTAAACAAGGACCACATGGAGTGACTCATTAGATGCTGAGAGCTAATAAGAGGCTGAAGATTTTCAGCTGAGCGCCGATGCTGGGGGCAGCAGGACCTCCTAGCATCTAGAAATTGAGAATGCATCAGGAGGTGGTGATAAATCCTGTGCTGATGCCTGGTGCGTGGAGCTGTTATATTTTTAGGATGAAGGCAAAGATGTGAAAATCCAAGAGAGCGCCCGGGCGAAGCCGAGGTGTCGAGAGGTCTGCGTGTTTGTGGTTCCTTCGCTCGCCAGCAGGCGCCGTGCCACGGCTAGCATCCTAGGTTTCAGAATACAGATGGCGGCCCTTTCCTGATGGAGCTGGTCATGTAACAGAGAAGAGACAATTAACCACAAGAGACTGTGAGATGTGATGGGCGTTGGGGTCGCAGAAAGGCAGAATCCGTGGAGGGCGTGGCCTAGAGAAGTGAAGAGACCTGCGTGGAGGTGCAGGCCTTAGACGATAAGGAGGAGTGATGAGGGAGGGAGGGGAGTCCCCGAGGAGGGGCAGGAGCGGTAAGACCAGAGCCAGCAGGACGGAGGGGCGGACAGGGCCCGGATCTTTATGCTCAAACAGACTGCTCCGTGCCACACAGTGAACAGATAAAGTCCCCGCCCTCCAGAAGCTGGTCAGACGCGAAGCCACAGAAGAATAAGTGTGCCGAGCGTGAAGACAAAGATGAAAGACGATGCGGTGTGACAGCATGAGGGGTCCATGGTGACCGCTCTTGTGGGAGAGAGGTTTGGACTGAGGTCTGAACGAGGAGAGAGAAGGCAACCTATGAACGTCTGAGGGAAGCATTCCGAGCAGAAGGACAGCAGACTCCTTGAGAAAGAAACAGGCAGGCATGTGCTCAAGGCCCGGAAGGCGGACCCCTGTGGCCAAGACGGGGAATGAAGGGAGGGGTAGGGGACACGGTGTCCGAGAGATGAGCGAGGACACACCAGGCAGACACCTGAGGGACGATGACCAAACGTCCAGGGTGGCCCCAGGTAACCCCAGTTAGCACCCTTTAGCTTGGTTTAACTACTGATACTGCCCTCCCTCCCTAACTCCATAAAGTATGGCAAGGAGTTCAGATGTTGAAGTTCAGATGAAAGCCATTGGGAACTTTTCAGCAAAGGTGACAACGTGATCTGATTCATCCTTTAGAAAAGTCTCCCTGGGAGTGATTTAAAGACGTTCAGTAAGGGGGAAGAGGGGGGCCGTGAGCCCAGTCAGGAGGCCTCCCACTTCCATTCATTCTGTTTAAGGCCCTGACACCCAAAGCACTTCTGGTGTTTCTCACAGTGCTGCAGAATCTTGGAATGTGAAAAGAACCTAGAATTCCGTTTGTTTAAATTCCTGTACCATGGAAGGATGCCTCCTACGATAGTTGATGCTTACTGGCTTTAATGAAATTGAAATAAAAGACTGCCGTTAAATAAAGAGGCAGGGGACTTAGGCTAAGAAGAAAACAGTCTTTGCAGCAGGTCAGAGCCAGGTAGGTCCTGACCCTTTCTGAGACCCTTTGTGACCTTAGGCAAATGACCTAACCTCTCTAAGCCTTGGATTTGCCGCCTGCAAAACAGAGACGATAATAACCACCTGGGTACCTTTAAAGTATTTAAAATAAGGTATGTAAAGCACTGCCTGGTGCATAGTATTTCAGTATTATAAAAAGGAATTAAGCAATAAAGTTTTTTTTGTTGTTAAGAAAGAAAGGGAGAATTTTATTCAAGCCAAATTTGAAGATTATAGCCTAGGAAGAACACCTCAGAAGGTTCTGAGAACTGTTCTGCCAGTTAGAAATCAAGGCGGTTTTACAAGGTTTTTGAGACAGAAGGTGTTTATTTACAGTTCTCATAATCCAAATCTAAGCCTCATCCTGTTGGGTCATGTGACCCCTTACAGGCTCAAGAAGGAAAGTTACCTTTTAAGGAGTTGTCAGGTTGATGCTAGGAGAATGTTGCTCTTTTTTTTTTTTAATTGAAGTACAGTCAGTTGCAGTATGTTAGTTTCTGGTGCACAGCACAATGTCCCAGTCATATACATACATAGATTCATTTTCATATTTTTTCCATTAAAGGTTATTACAAGATATTGAATATAGTTTCCTGTGCTATAAAAGAAACTGAAGCAATAAAGTTTCTTTAATGCCATTTCCAAAACCCAGTCCTACCTGACAAAGTGAATTTCAGGTTATTGTTGACATCACTTTTTCTAGTTAGCTTCAAACTTCTGTTGAAAATAATGCATTCTCTCCCCGGAGTAACACATGTGTTGATATGCACATCAAATTTTGCAAACATTTATTGATGGGTTCTCAAAATAATTTTGCAAACCATTGAAGGGCTCCTTTTAAAACAGAAACTGAGGCAAAATCACAGAACTGTAATTCCATCTACTCCCCCAACTTTCCTGGCAGAGCGATTTAAATCTTTCCCCTCTGTTGCTCACACCCCTTCTCTAACTGCAGTCTACCCAACCTCACAGAACAAACAGATGGGTTATAAGGGACTATCAGACACCCAAAGGAAAGTGTTGTACAGTTTCACCATTGAAAATTATTGAAAGTCTCCAGCCATCACTACCACGGTGTTTTTCCTGTAGTGATTTTTGTCCTGAAGGCTCTGGACAGGTCTGACTGTTCCTGAAATATACATTTACGTGGTCTTCACTCCAGCAGCTAGGATAAGGTGACCACATCTTTGTGATTTACCACTGGTGCTGAGAGACCAGGACCACAAACACTCGTCCACATCTAAAGAGACAACGTTTTTCAGAAATCTTGAGTAGTAATTACACTAGCTCTAAAAGGAATTCATCATAAAAATTTCACAGAGATTGTATCCATCACAATACTGACATGAATTCTCTATTTTACATTTACTTATGTCCTCCCCCCAAAAAGATTCCATTTGAACTTTTCTAGTTTCAAAAGAACATGAAAGGGTAACTTCCTCAACTTGATGAAGAATATCTTCAAAAATCTATAGCTTATTCTTAACCTATGACTATACTTTATGGGGAAAAACTCAGAAGTTTTCCCACTAAGATCAGGTACAAGACAAGGATGTCCCCTCTCACCACTCCTTTTCAGTATTATATTGCAAGTTCTAACCAATGCAATAAGACAATAAAAGGAAATTTATGTATGTATATATATATATATATATATATGTATATATGTATATATACCCTTACACACTTATGTACGTGGAAGGAAAAAATAAAATGGTCTTTGTTTGCAGATGATATGATTGTCAATATAAAGAATCCAAAAAAAATCAACAAAAACTTGAAACTAGTAAGTGATAATAACAGGTTTGAAGGATGCAAGGCCAGTCACTTTTCTACATACTAGCAATGAACAAGTGGAATTTGAAATTAAAGACACAATGCCATTTATATTAACATCACCAAAATGAAATACCTAGGTGTAAATCTAACAAAATATGTACATGATCTATATGAGAAAAACTATAAAACTCTGGTAAATAAAATAAAAGGAAGACTAAATAAATGAAGAGATACTGCATGTTTATGGATAGGAAAACTCAGTGCTGTCAAGATGTCGGTTCTTTCCAACTTGATCTACGGATTCAGTGCAATCTTGGTCATAATTCCAGACATTTACCTTGTGGATATTGACAAATTGACTCTAAAGTTTACACCAAGAGGAAAAAAGCTCAGAATAACCAACACAATATTGAAAGAGAACAAAGTTGGAGTATTAACTCTACTCAACCTCAAGTCTTACATTAAAGCTACAGTAATCAAGACAGTGTGTTATTGATAACAGAATAGACAGATAGGTCAGTGGAACATAATAGGAAGCCCAGAAGTAGACCCACATAAATATGGTCAACTGATCTTTGGCAAAGGAGCAAATGCAATGCAGTGATGCAAAGAGTCTTTCCAAAAAACGGTGGTGGAACAACTAGACATCCACCTGCCTAAATAAATAAATAAAAGAATGTAGACATAGACTTTATACACTTCACCAAACTTAATTCAAAGTAGATCATAGACCTCAATGTAAAAAGCTATAAAACTCCTTGAAGATAACATTGGAGAAAACCTAGATGACCTTGGGTATGAAAATGATTTTTTTTTTAAACGGAGGTACTGGGGATTGAACCCAAGACCTCGTGCATGCTAAACATGCTCTCTACCACTGAGCTATATCCACCCCGCTGAAAATGAATTTTTAGCTTGGACAGCAAAGGTATAATCCATGAAAGAAATAATTGATAAGCTAGACTTCATTAAAATTAAAAACTTCTGCTCTGTGAAAGATGTCAAGAAAACGAGAAGACAAGCCACAGACTGGGAGAAAATATTAGCGAGAAATACATCTGATAAAGGACTGTTATCCAAAATATACGAAGAACTCTTAAACATCCATAATAAGAAACCACCTGACTGAAAAAATGGACCTGTGGACCTTAATAACCTCCTCGCCAAAGAAGAGAAATAGATGACAAATAAGCATGTGAAAAGATGCTCCATATCATGCTATCGGGGAATTGAAGTTATAACTATGAGATGCACACCTATTAGAATGGCAAAATCCGGAACACTGACAACACCAAACGCTGGTGAGGACGTGGAGCAACAGGAACTCTCGTTCCCTGCTGATGGGAAGAAAAATGGAACAGCCACTTTAGAAGACAGACAGTTTCTGACAAAAATAAGTATACTCTTATGCAATCAAGCAATTATGCTTATGGGTATTTACCCAAAGGAGTTGAAATAAAAACCTGCACATGAATATTTATAGTCAAATATTCAATTCATAATCACCCAAAACTGGAAGCAACCAAGCTGTCCTTCAGGAGGTGAATGGATAAATAAGCCGTGGCTCATCTATACAATTCAGGCATAAAAAGAAATGAGCGATCAAGCCATGAAAAGGCCAGGGGAGAACCATACCTGCATGTTACTAAGTGAAAGAAATTTGAAAAGGATATATATATTGTATGATTCCAACTGTACGGCAATCTGGAAAAGGCAGAACTATGGAGAGAGTAAAAGAGCACTGGTTGCCAGGGGTTGGCTGGGGGCATGGGGTGGTGAGGAGGTACGAACAAAGCAGTAAAAATACTCTGTATGATCCCATAATGATGGATACCTGTCATTACTCCTTTGTCCAAACCCATTGACGATACAACGCCAAGAGTGAACTGTATTGTAAACCACAGACTTTGGATGATTACAGTGTGCCATCGTAGGTCATCAGTCGTAACAAACCGCTCTGGTGGGGGAAGCTGATAATAGGGTCTTTGTGTGGGTGGGGTCGGGGTATACGGGGAATCTCTGCTTTCCCATAAATTTGTCTATGAGCCTTAAACTAGTCTAAAAATAAAATCAAGTCTTAATTTTTAAAAAGTGACTTTTAAAAAGTTCTTAAAAGCGACTTGTCATTCCTGTTTGAAAAGATACTGGCTTTGAAAAGATTACGCCTTGTTAAAAAATAGACAGCATCATAAAAAAAGAATTAAAAATGCAACAGAATCTGATGCAGACCTCCCCACAGGCCCACCCCTGCCAACACTTGTTCTCAAAGTGGACATTTGCGTCTCAAGGGTCACCAAGAACACGGAACTCATTCCAAACATCTCTGCGGCTCAGTTGGAACAACTGTTCGTGTTTATAAGGCACATGGTCTGATGAAGATTCCGTTTATTTTAGATTAGTCTGGGGACTGGCATGTGGCTGCGAAAGGCTGAGGATGAGAGGACACGTTTCAGCAGTGTGTGCTGGGAGCAGAGCCTTCTGTCACTGCCTCACCCTGTCCTGCAGACCCTCATTCTACCAAAAGCACCTATGATTCCCTGCCAGGGGGCTTTCTTCCGGGCTCACGGAGCCCAGGCTGGAACTACTGGGGGCTTAGCTCCCCCCGTGAGGAACCCCCAGCCAGTGGCAGCTATGCACTCCAGCTCTCTTGCAACCTGCTGGGGTAACTCAAAGAAACAGCTACACGGACTCCCAGCATCCCAGCCTGGTTAACTCCAGCCACTGGTTCCCGTAACGCAATCTGCAATGGCCCTTTATTAGCCACCTTCCCTTCTTTCTCTCACTTCTCTTCTTCCCTGGTATTTCCTGGTCTCATCTCCTCAATAAACTACTGACCTATCCTTTTAGGATCTGCTTCTGGGGTAACCTAAACTAAGATAAGTCTTATTCCTGACTTCCTTGTTAATCTGACTTCAATTTTCCCCAAGTTCCCAGCTTCAGGTTCAAGGTCATGGGCTTCAAAGGAGGCTGGCTCACCCCCGCTCCAGAAAACAGGGTCCATCGCAGTGCAGGTGGCTCAGTGATGACCAAGGAGACATGAAGGGAGTTCAGCCAGGGGACTTTAAGGACATAGAGGAGCCCGTTTGTTTTAAGCCCCTGGCCTCTGTCACGTCTGGGTGAGACGCTGGAAGTGGTGCAGTCATCTTGTCACCATGAGGGAGACACTGGGAGGATGGAGCGAACACCGCCGAGGGAGGCAGGGCCCTGATGACAGCACGCCTGGAGCACCTGCCTTTGGGATTCTCGTTACGTGAAACAATTCCTGTCGCTGGACGCAGCTGAGTCAGGGTTTGTTGTTACTCCAGGCCAAAAAAAAAATCTAATTAATATATTTTCATGACTAGAGAAAACAACACCCATTGCCATTCTTACTTGGTGAACATGGTTCCATCTCCTGCCCCCTTCCCCTAAATTGTTTGTCCCGATGTCTGTCTGTCCCCTTTTGGCTCTTGATTTCTGTTCTACCATGTCCTCTCTGGTTCACGACAGACTTGTGCCACACGAACATCCTTATCTCCTCAGATGCAGAAAACAGAATATCGCATCATCAGAGTCTGCAAGTTAGGAAAGACAGACTTAAGACGGTGAGGCACAAACTAAGGTAAGCCCTCATAAGTGTGCAGATCTTACTGGGAGAGGTAGGAAGTTGGCAGGCTAATGCTGAAAGCCCTGGGACCCAAAGGGCAAACTCTGATCAGTGGTGTAAATTCAGAAATTCTGCTTCATTGTTTTGCTCAGAACGAATCAGGCCCTGTAAACTGACTCAAACCCAGCTACCTCAGAGGAGAAGACATCAGTAGGTCAATTGGTTATTTATGGTCAAAATCCCTGTAGCCTTTCCCAATCTCAAGGGACTTATAAAAACCATCAGGAATTTTCTTGAAGGTCCTGGATGAAAAACAACCGACTGGAAGAGTCTTGAAGGGTTTTTAATCCAGACAGTGGCCAAGCCTGGCGATCTGACTTTGCTGCGTGTCGTCTCCATGTTCGTGCCAGGCACATGGAGCCATGGGCTTGGAATGAGGCATCGTTGCTGGGATCCACAGTTCTGACTCAGGGCGAGCACTGGGGTGGATCAGAGCTGACCCAGAGCCTGGTCGCGTGATATCCAAGTAGCAACCACCCTCCTAGTTATGACAACCCAAACAGTCTGTAGTCATTGCAATGTATATATACCCCCCAGGGTGGCGGTGGGGGGCATAAATCCTGAGGTGAGAACCACTGGGATAGAAGTGAGTTACGAAGACAATCCTGGGCTGAAGAGATCAATTTGGGAGTCGTTAGCCTGGAGATGTTTGAAGTCATTAGACCAATAGATATCACCAGGGAGTAGATGGAAGAGAGAAGACGTTCAAGGGTGAGATTGGGGGTGCGGCTGCACCAGTATTCGGAAGTCAGAGAGATGAGGAACCAGCAAAGTGTCAGCAAAAGAAACAAGTAGGTCAGGTGGGAGGAACGGAGAGAATGTGATGTCCCGGTGGAAAAAAAGTGTATTAACCAAAGAGACAGCATACAGCTGTGTCAAACAGATCAAGTCAAACAGCACTGAGAATTGATCATTTGGTTTCCCATCATGAACGCTGTTGATGCCTATGATGGTACCCATTTGTAAGCTGCTAAGTACAGTACTGATTCAACAAGAGGTGGGTCTTACATGTACGACTCCACACCAATACTTCCTCTAAACTAAGCAGATCAAATGCAGTGTGATTTGATGTTTGTTGATTTGCACAGGTGATCCTTTGACACATCGATTTGATCTGGGTAAAATATGCTTCTAATTGATTCCATAAATAAAGGAAAATAATTACAGACACTAAATACAAAAATGTTTTCAACGCACTTTCTGTAAACAGACTGAAGGATCAGGCACAACCAGAGGGCGAAGTGGAACCATGATGGCGAAATGGCAGGACATGTTTTCAGAGGGTGCAGAGGTTCAGGGGGCAAGTTTGAACATGCAGAGGAGAGAGGAGAAAGTTGTTGGAGTGATATCCTCGGGTGGGCAGGAGAGAACTGATCCTGACGTTTGAGTCATGTTATGTATGTTTCAGTATATTTCACAGATGCCGAGAATGTTAAGCTGGAGATACAGGAGCAGGTGCCGTATCCTCTGGAAACTTTCTGTCCCGTAGCTGCCTGCTTACAGCTTCTGCCTCAAGCACAGCAGGAGGCCTTCTCTGGCCGGAAGAGAAGGTTTGGCCCCAGAATGTTGGCTTCCCCTCCCCCAAGCAGCCCTCAGGCGAAGACAGATGGGAGTTGGAGTGTAGGTGCCTGGTTCCTTCGCCCTGAGGGAGAGGCGGCCCTAAGGAGGTTCCTGTGCTGTCCCCCAGGAATCCCCAGTGCAGCCAGGCCTCAAGGCCCACAGCAGAAATCTCTTTGGCTCCCCCTGTGCTGGTTGGCTTCCCTCCCCCACCTCACTTCTCCACTTCTGGGGATCATCTCCCAAATAAGCTACTTACACTCAAATCCTTGCCCCAGTGTTTCTTCCGGGGAAACCCAGCTCAGACAGTGTACATTCAAACAACTGTAAGTCCTACCTGCTGGTCAGTAGTACATGACTTCTTACAGGTTGTGTAGGAAAGTTGTCATTCTGGACAAACTTCAAGCAATGTCTTTATGCCTTTGCAGATTTCAGCCCAGAATATAACATAACACAGTGCAATATTTATCTTGACGATAATGACCCCAATCTGTGCTTGAGTGTCTCTCTCTGTCACATCAGCGTGACAGCACTGAGCGTTTAGCTTGAGTAAGTGGTTCCCTGTCCTTTGATAATACACCTTGGGCCCAGCATCCTGCTCAGTGCAATTTTCAGCTCCATCAGGGGAAGCCTAAGACAGCTCAGAATTCCCAGAGATTTTCAAACTGTGCTTCATTTGTTCTGTTATGCACTCAGTCTGTCTTGTCCCTTTGAACTGGACTCCCCAGGGGATTCAGTTAGGTAGCCACTTCTTTTGTCCTTTCATTTCACATGCTCTCGCTGGCCATTTCCTTTTTAGTCTGAATTATGTTATTTCCTTAACCCCCACCCACCCCAACTCACTCAACTTTCATCAAAAATCCCACCAAGACAGGTAACTATAATATAAACCCTTCCTTTCCTTAGCACCTTAAGATTTCATTTTGCATAGTTAGGGGATAATTGGTTACATTTATATAGTGTTTCTGAGGTGCCAGACACTGTTATAAGTGCTTTACATGAGGTTTTTTTTTTAATTTCTTTCTTCACATCAACTCTGTGTTACAGGAATAATATTATCTCCATTTTACAAGATTGGATTATGATGAATTTTAATTGGTACACTTTGAATTCCACAGCACTTCAGGGCTAGAAGCAACCTTGAAAGTTCATGCAGGTGATCTTTTCCAAGTATTCTAGGATAATTGTAGACCCAAACCTTTGAAATGGCTTACAGATGCTGTGAACGGAATTGTGTCCCCTTAGAATTTTTATGTCGAAGCCCTAAGCCCAGATGTGATGGTATTTGGAGGTGGGGCCTTTAGGAGGTGATTAGACTTAGGTGAAATCTTGAGGCTGGGGCCCTCACGATGAGATTAGTGCCCATTTAGGAAGAGACCAGAGAGCTTGCTTTTTTGTTTGTTTGTTTTTTAAAGAATTGTATTTGACAATCAGATCTAAAAGGGGTCCTTTATAAAAGAAATCTCCTATGAGAGTTGTTTTGTTAGGTTTTCTCTTTTGGGGAGATAGTTAGGTTTATTTATTTTTTACTTTTAGAGGAGGTGCTGGGGATTGAACCCAGGGTCTTGTGCGTGCTAGGCATGTGCTCTGCCACTGAGCTGTACCCTTCCCTGCCCCAGAGAGCTTGCTCTTGTTCTCTCTCGGCCCCGTGTGGGCACAGCACAAAGACGGTCATCTGCAAGCCAGGCAGAGCCCTCACCGGAACCAAATTAGCTAGCACCTCGACCTTGGACTCCCTCACCTCCAGACCTGTGAGAAACAAACATTGTGCAAGCCATTGGGTCTGTGCTGTTTTGTTACAGTATCCTGAGCTGGCTGAGACAACAGGTTTCTGCAGGACCCAGCGTGGCCTCTCTCTCCAGGCCCATCTCACAGCATTATCCCGTCCCCCCAACCCTGACACTCTGGTCACAGAAGCTTCATTCTGTGTCTGCAGTGAGACGCATTCCTCCTATTTCCGGGCTTTGATAAGTGCTGTTTCCTCGGTCTCAAACTCTGTGGTAGACAAAATAACAGCCCCCAAAGATGTCCATGTCACAATCCCCAAAACCTGTGTATATTGTTACTTTACATGATGAAAGGACTCTGTAAGTGTGACTAAGTTAAGGATCTGGAGATGAGAGGATCATCTTGGATTATGCAGATGGTCCTAATGTGATCACAAGGGTCTTTCCAAGAGGAGGCAGGAAGTTCAGGGTCGGGGGAGACAGAGAGGCCCACAGATGCAGAGCTCAGAGTGATGCCTTTGCTGGAAGAGGAGCCAGGGCGCATAGTGGTCTCCAGAGTCTGGAAAAGACAATCCTCCCCTTACACAGTCTCTGCCCAAGAGCCTCCAGAAGGAAAGAAGTCTTGCTGACCCATCGTAGATTTCTGAACTCCAGAATTGTAAGATAATAAATTACATTTGTTTGTGTCGCTGTCGGTGGTGACCTGTTACAGCAGCAATAAGAAACTAATACTCTCTTCCTAGCTACTCCTCTCTTCATTTTAATTCTTATTGTTCTGTAGATTTTGATTCAAGTATCACTTCCTCAGGAAAGGGAATATCACTGTCACCCTTACCACTCTGACCACAAACTCATCGCGAAATGCCCTGTTACATTTTCACAGCCTTTCGTACTTCTCCTTCATAGCCCTTAACACTGTCAGATTATTTGATTCACAGCTGTGTAACCCCCCAGATTCCAACTTCTGTGAGGGCAGAGTCATGCTGTTTTATTTTTCACCCATTATATTCCCAGCATCTCACACCATAAAATCACAAACGTTCAATAAATCATTGTTTAATGAATAAATGAATGAAGAAGTAACTGATTAACAGAGGACATGAAAATGATTGGTTGGCCCTAAAAGAGACATAGAAGATTATTGTTGTAAGTTTAACTGATTAGCCTCCAAGTAAAACTCAGTGCCATATATAAAAGGGATCCTATGAAGCATTAATTTCCATATTTAAGAAGCATCAGAAGTTTACAGTCAGAAACAGGTGCTGGTTAATAAGAAACTAGAGGTTCATTTCTATCTCATTTTAATTCTTCTGTTTCTAGGTCATGTCTTTTTCTTGCTTCCACCAGTTCAAGTTTATGAAAACTGCTTTGAAAAGGAAATTAGCTCTGAAGTTAACTTTTATAACTCTCTTAGTCAAGGTAATCCTCTCTGTGGTGTAGCAACAAACCCCCAAATCTCAGTGGATTCAGAATCAGATAAAATGACTTCTTGTCCTTAGGAAGTCTGAAAAAGTTGTCTTGCATCTGGTGAGTCAGGAATTCAGACTCCCTTCATCTCCTGAAGCCTCGCTTTGATCTGTGGCGTCCAGGCTGCCTGCCCTGGCAGAGCAAGAACTCACAGCCCTGAGCCACCGTGGTCCGGAAGTGACCCACATTACTTCTGTTCTCAAGCCATTGGTCTAAACTTGTCACGTGGGCCTGACCCAACGACCAGAGAGTCCGGAAAGTGTAAGAGGCGTGGGGAGTATTTGGTGAGTATTGTCCACGATGGCTGTAAATGTTTTTGGCAGTGAGTTATTATCCATATGCTGTAAGTAAATTGAAATGTTGCCCAAGTAATATTTAAATGTCCTTAAAAGTTCCAGCTCTTGAAGGAAGCGATACAGTGAGTCATTTTGTAAAGTCTTGTGTGATAATCACTTCAGAAGTCTCAGAGAGGCACGTCTATGTTTATGTTGGCTTTTCCTAAAATCCCAAAGGCAGCTCGCCCCAGCTCTTCCCGACTCCCGTTGACGTGGGGTGACGTCACAGTGGTGGCTTGAATCTGGCCACAGTGGGGTCGTCTACACCAGAGTAGTTAGCAAATGCTGCAAATGAGGACCTTTTGTTTTTCGAAGAGGCGGCTGTTAAACGTTTACTAGCACACCACCTTATAGACACTGGCAGTTAAAACAACTGTTTGGTACTAGAAATCAGATTGCAACGTAGTTTCAAAATGAGCCAGCTATATACAGTTTTAAAGCCAGATCATTTTGTGCCCATGGAGTTTGCACAGGCACCTGCACACGGGCTCGTGGCTGGCCATGCGGAGGCTCCAGAAGGAGGAGCAGGAAAGGGCTGTTCTAGATTCTGCTGCTAGTCACTCACTTACGAGTCCTTGCCCAGGTCACCCAGTCACTCTCAGGCATGGTTTTTCAAATATCAAATAAAAAGTTTGTGCCAGCTGGCCTTCCGGACCCTCTCCTGCTCTGATATTGACGATGCAGGTCCCAGTCACGTCACGATGCGCACGGCCTGCACTGAGACCGAAGGTACTAAGAACCCCGAATTGTCTCCAGGGCAGATACTGTCATTTATTTCCAGATGCTTCTGTCGGGACTTGCGTTTGCTCTGTGGGAAGTGTGCATACCGCAGAAACATCTCTGCAAGAATGGCCCTCTGTTGTTGTAAAATAACTGAGAGAGTCATTTCCCCAAGAATTCAAGTTGCAAGCTCTGTCATCCTGAGAATGAAACTGTACAGCAGCAGCATCTTCTGGCTTTTTAGATCGTGTGCTTTATTAGCTTTTGTCCCAATGACTTATTACTGCATAATGAATCACCTCAAAAACTCGGTGACTTAAAACAAACCGGTTTAGTACATATCACAATTTTCTGTGGCCACCTTTCATCATCCATAACACCAAAGAAGTAACTTAAACACCACCAGACCCCTGTAATCGTGCCGTCCCCCAGATACACCACTGCCACCACCAACAGCGAAGAGACCAAATCTCTCAAAGTTCCACTAAACATTATGCCTTGCCCCTCTAGATAAATCTTGCAGCAGGTTTAGCCCAGTCTTGGTATATAACAGTTATGTAAAAATGTGTTAATTTTGTCAGTACATTAAAAAAGTCTGTCTACAAAATACATAATTTATATATATATGTATATATATGTAAACCCCTTCATTTATTCTTCAAAGAATAAATCTCTTCCCTGATAAATCTTCCAAGACATTTACATATATTATATATATTAAATGTATATGTGTACTGTTTTGTGTGTATTTGTGTGTGTGTATATATATATTTATTTTTTTTAGAGAGATTTATTATAAGATACTGGCTCATGC